TAATAATGACAATGATAATGATAACAATAATGATAATAATAATAATAATAACAATAATGATGATAATAATATTACCAGTAATAATAATTACAACAGTAATAATAATAATAATAATAATATTAATAACAATAACAATAACAATAACAATAATAATAATAATAATAATAATAATAATAATAATAATAATAATAATATTACCAGTAATAATAATCACAACAGGAATCATCATCATCATCATCATCATCATCATCATCATCATCATCATCATCATCATCATCATCATCATCATCATCATCATCATCAATCATCAATCATCATCATCAATCATCATCATCAATCATCAATCATCAATCATCAATCATCAATCATCATCATCATCATCATCATCATCATCATCATCATAATGATAGCTCTGAAAAGAGTAATGATAATAATATCACTATTATCATCAACAACATTATTATCAAGGAATGTATAACGAGGTACGTCCACTTCCTTTTAGGATACTGAACCCAAAAATGAAACTGACTTTTTCCCTGGAGCAGTCTGACAGCTGTTAATAGTAAGGAACTTTTCATTATCTCAAATAAGAGGGGAATTTTGGTTCTACTTCTGATACTTATAACAAGACCGAGTAAATTATACAAATAATTATGTACCTAGCTATATATATCTTATAGTGCATTCTATAGTGATGTCATTAGCTCTGCCCCCTTTCTTGACCCCAACAATGTGTGTCACATTTTAGTACTTTTTTATTTATTTTCTTTGAAAATAGTTATGCAACAACAATGGCAAAAAATTATTGAAAAAGAAACCAAGAAAAAAAATCTCTAAAAAAAATCTATTTGCAATGAATAAAAGTAATGAGGCTCAGAATTTGCCAAGTGGTTATACCTATGTAATGGTACCTTGATCATTATCAATGCTATTATTCTTACTATCATTATGATTGCAATCATTCCTATCTTCGTCATCATCACAGCCATTACCATTATCAAAATAAAATGAAAATCAATAAATGCAGTGCTTATGACTCCTGTTTCACTCTTATTCCATTCACCTTCAATAATCAATAGAAATCATACATTCCAGGACTAATATCAAGCATAAAACTAAAACACACTTCTACAACTTTTAACTAAATACCTTTCCAATTCACACACGATTTACATTTTTTTGAATTTAAAGCATGTTAAAATATTCTGAATTAAAAGCTATATGTAAAATTATTTTGAGTCTTTACCTATAAGTTAATGCAATTACATGTACATTTTATATAAAGAGAACAAGAGAATGAACAAACTATGAATCAAACAAATAAATTCATGGACATAATAATAGCGGCAAGCACTTTAAAATTTTAACAGCGATGTTTCATAATATTGTTATTCCTCTATTACAACAGAGGAATATCAACAAAACTTCTATAGGAATATTAATAAAACAGTCATCATCATGACAACAATAACTATAACAATAATAATAAAAAAAATAATAATAATAACAAAAATAATAACAAAATAATAATAAAATAACAATAATAATAATAATAATAATAATAATAATAATAATAATAATAATAACAATAATAATAACATAATAATAACAATAATATAATAATAATAATAATAATAATAAATAATAATAATAATAATAATAATAATAATAATAATATAATAATAATAATAATAAAATAATAATAATAATAATAATAATAATAATAATAATAATAATAATAATAACAATAACAATAACAATAACAATAACAATAACAATAACAACAACAACAATAATAATAATAATAATAATAATAATAATAATAATAATAATAATAATAATAATAATAATAATAATAATAATAATAATAATCATAATTAATAATAAGAAGAAGAAGAAGAAGAAGAAGAAGAAGAAGAAGAAGAGGAGGAGGAAGAAGAAGGAGAAGAAGAAGAAGAAGAAGCAGCAGAACAAAAAAAAAAAAAAAAAATAATAATAATAATGATAATAATAATATTATATAATAATATTAAATAATAATAAGAACAACAACAACAGCAACAACAACAAAAACAAGATAAAGAATGAGGAGAAGAAGAATTATGAGGAGAAGAAGGAGAAATAGAACAAGAACAAGAATAATCAATAACAATAACAATAACAATAACAATAACAATGATAATGATAATGATAATAATAATAATAAATAATAATAATAAATGATAATAATATTAATAACAATAATAACAATAATAATAATAATAAAAATAATACTAACAATAATAATAATAACAATGACAACAATAATATATAAATAAATAACAAAGTAATAATAATAATAACAAGAAAAATATAAATAAAAAATCACTGCAACAGCAATAACATGAACATAAACAAAAAAATAACAAAAATGTCATAATTGCAATATTAACAATAATTTTAATTAAAACACTATCACAATAAATTTTCTCTTAATTATTACTTCTCACCATCATTAAAAAAATACATAATAATAATCACCTTGACATGGAGTTAAATTATACCCATCTTAACGTTCTTAATTTGCCAACATTATACAAAACAAATTGATTTTGAAATTCCCACATGACAACTACAAACAATGCCTGCATTCTAAATGATAACTGAAATAATAATAAGAAGAAAAGTTCCCTCTACATCAATCTAGTTCTTAACTACGTAAACCATGATATTATGAGTAAAATCAGGATATACTGATTTCTAATGCCGAAGAGAGAGAACACCATAAAAGACCTATCAACTTAACTATAAAATTCTAAACAAATATGTTTTATGGAAATTGAGTTGTATTAAAAAATGTATATTTTCTAAATTCTTCACATAAAAACAATATGTATTTATCATTCTATTTTCTAATTTATTTCAGCACAAGAATGTCTTCCGTTTATATCTTTGTTAATCAGGTACCAATGTAAAGAAAACATATATTCATGTATAACATAAAGACCCTATGCTAAATGCATTATATCCCTGAAATAGTCTGTATATATTTGTAGAAGAAATATAGGAAAAATATTCCTATTGCTATATATAATAAATCTATATCACATTCTGAATCTATTGCACCTTTAAAAACCTTACATTTCTTTGGTATTTAATTTACAATACTGATTTCCAGTATCTTTAATCAATACATTTAACCATCTGTCTTTCAAATCTACCTACATAATCGGCTTTGGTAGTCTCAGATATACTGTTCTAAACTGAGGCTATCTGAAGATTATCTCCACCTATAGTTTCTGCCTCTCTTAGTCATATACATAAATGCATTAAACACTTGTTGGCTCTCCATCAAACACAGAGCTACCAACTAAACATGTCAATTTTCCAGTTTCTTGGTCTATCTTTTGACTGAAGCTGGTTTCCTTGACACATAATTGTTTATATATTTATTAGCCTGTCCATCATACATAATGAAATTTTTCTGGCTCCTACATTTCCACATTTGCCTATATCAGTCAGTCTTTGGTATTTCAATCAAGACGACGAATATATCCTACATTCTAACTCATACTGATATCTTTGCTAGTTCCTTTATACATACCACATAATGAAAAAGGCATAAGTTATATGTGGAAGATTAATATCTCTGTCAAAATGACCTGTTACAAAAGAGGTAAAAGCATTCTTTGGGAACAGCACCAATACATAAATGTACAAGTTACTACAAAAGAATAATTGTAGTAGGAAATGCTTCAAAAGATGCAGAGTAAAATACTTTCTTTCATTATAAGATATATCAGCAAACACAACTTTTTGCATCCTCCTTTATCTAAATTTATACATCTTAGCCAACAGGGTTATCAGTCCTGCATGAAATAAACATATTTCAAAACTTTTGAAATGTCACAAAGATAACTTGTATCTTTACAAATAACATATAGAAACTGCATTTTCTCTGCATTTATTATTGATGAATATGATGATATCGCCACCTTTCCTGGATGGGAAAAAAAAAAAAAAAAAAAAAAAAAAAAAAAAACATTCACTTGCACTGAAGACAGGTTCTAAAATTTCCTCTCAGGAAGCACTAAATCTTTCCAAACCACTGAATTTTTTTTTTCCAGTTACCATAAAACAAAAGTGTAGAGGATGAGCAATAATATTTCACTTCATTCATCCATGTTTTCAGGTACTATGATAAGTATCAGGTGCACTTTGAGCTTCAATTATCATTTGCTTGTGGACCGAGTTTCACTCACTGATACTTGAACTAAGAATAATGTACCAAACAGAAGCCATATTTGGTATATAACCAGAACTTTATTCTGGAAGGTATCTGATATTTCTGCAAATCAAAGTATTAAAAAAGATGTCTGTAATAAAATATTCTTTTTATAAAACATTAGACAATGAATATACTACAAACTTGCATATAATAAAAATAGAACACTAAATTAAATATCATATACATAAATGCAATATAGTGACTATTCCTATTTCTGGGTATACTATACCTAATCTCATTACATATAAAACTCTGTATTTGTTGCTACTAGCTTTGGAATCATATCAATACCCTCTAAGGTATGTATGTTAATAAAATATCACAGTTTGGAATAGAACCATGAAGGTCCTGGGTGTTTACACCCAATTTCTTAACTTGACTACTTTGTGGAAGTACCACTTACTCCTATAGGTCTGACTGTCTTCAAACAGGTCTAAATTTAATCTTAATTTCCTTGCTAAAGGGCCTATCTAAAAATTCTGATACAAAAATTAAAAATAATTATGAAAAAGATGAACAAAATATGAAAAGAAGAAAATATATCATTAAATTGATAATGATATCAAATAACAATAATACCAATAACATATTTTTCTCAAAATGAAAATAATAATAATAAAAAAAATAATGAGACCCTCACAGTAAAACCTGGTATCACAGACAAATTCACTGAGCTCTCCACACTTCAAGACGGGTGAGTGCAGCAGCAGCAGCAATGAGATGTTTGTGTTACCTGCATCCAGGCTGAAAGAGCACATCAACGCCTCAGCTTCACTCTGTTGCTTGCACCTCCTCCTCCACTCTGCCGTCCTTTGGATTTGTCGCGTCTTTTGTGTCTCCCTCCGCCGCTGCCTCCTCCACCACCGCCACCTCCACCTCCACCACTAGCTCCACCACCTCCGCCACTGCTCCCACTGCCCTGGACGCTGCCTGACTTGCCCTCTTCCCAAGATGTCTTTGCTGGGCCTAGACGGAGGTGGACTGACAAGCGCTGAGAGCCTTTCCCTTCATCTCCTGCAGGTGGTATGGCAAAAGGGAATAGGTACTGATGAGGCAAGCAACAGATCCTTAGTCTCAAAACTGGCATACAAAATGTTTGCCTTTCTGACAAGGATGCTTTCTTTTCTGTAGTTTACTAAATTCAAATCCTTAACTCTGGAAGCAAATGCAGTATTTAATGTTTCCTGAGTCCAAAAAACATATATATAACTATGCTGAATAATACTGAAAAATACCAAGTTCAAAAGCAATGATTTGTCAGCAAATACTCACGTTTGTTTACAACATCGCCAGACATGACATGGCGATTTTCACCAGATGCTACTGTCACAAGAAGAGGCTTTCCATCTGCAAGAATTACACACTTTATTGTTTCTCAGAAGTTAACCCATTAACGCTGGTATATTTTGCAGCCGAAAATAAAAGATACCGGGCGGCTACAAAATCAGCGGGCGGAGCTGCGAGCCCCAATACAGCTTCACACTGTAATGCAATGTTTATTT